AATTTTGGATGAAGTCAAGTCCAACATACAATGTTATATTACAATAGCACAGAATGACATAATAAAACATTTAGGAAAACTAACAATCAAACAATGAAGATTAAATATAAATAACATTTGAAAATGAGATTTATATACTGATGTCATTAACCCAGCTTAATTCACAATATAAATTCCTACAACATATTCCACTTGCTGCTATTGCACACCATACTGCCCAATTTAATTGATTTTGCCAATATTTTATTTCATTCATTGCTTGTTATCTTTTCAATATATTAACAATAATGCATATGTATAGTTTTTTTTAAAAAAGTCTATTGATCTGTAAGTAAAACAGACTTTTTCTACACAATATATCCAAATCTTAATAGATTTGTTCTTCTTTTATCAGCTGGTGTACTAAAACTAGCTACATTCAAAAGTAAGGAATGCTATTATTTATATAAACCTGGATTCCATTTATTTTATATAAATTTTCATAAATTGCAAAGTTAACAGGATTCATAAATTTTAAAATGATAAATGGGGGTGGGGGATTTTTATCCTATATTTTTGGCGTGTAGATTGACTTGGTGATCACAAGACAGTGAATCAGATGAATGATTGAAGGAAAAAAAATGTGACTGACCCTTTATGTTGAAATATTTGAAAAATGCTTTATAACCTTAACAAAACAGCAAAAAGTTGGGCAAAAAAATGACCTGTGTTATAAAGTAATTAGTATATCTTTTAAAATAGCCACACATTTGATTCTGTTTTTAACATACTAAACACATCAGTTTATTGTATAAGTCTATGTAATGTTTTCATCTGTACATCTAGCTATATTATCATATATTAGTCACACCATGAATGCTTTTGTACTGTTAAGACAGTTTGTTATACCTCTGTTTCTTTTGAAGTGATCTGTTATTGGTTAAGGTGAAAACTGTCTCTATCCACCATGATATGACAAGTTTAGGACCTTAATTTGTTAGAAAATAGCCATATTGTGGCTCCTGTGTTCTTCACACACAACTGATGGGCTTATCTGTAAATAATTGTAACAGGGAAGCATTTAACTGGACTGGAGTTCAAACCTGGGACCTCCCTAACTTTAGATGGGCTCTCTACCACTGCTATCCAAGGAGACATGCATAATCCTATCCATTATACAATGTACAGCAGGTTGTGAGATGAACCTGTGTCTCAGCATTCAATTTCCACTTTACACACCCTCCCAAGTCTGGGTTCAGGAGCAGCTGTAAAATCCTGATTGCAGTGACAAATGGAAAATACACAGCAAGCTCTAGGCTCCAATCCAGGAGCACTCTAACACAAGAAAGTCAACTACCAATATGGCCCACTGGCTGGATCTGGTTTTATCCAATAATTTCCATCAATGGATGTGGCTTTAAAAACTGCCTAACTGGCCCATGCCCTGAAGTAAAAAAGTTGCTCATGCCCAACTTAAGCTATCCAAGCCAACATGCCCAGTCTTACCCATTACACTTTCTCCCTATCTTTCTAAGGAACAAACCTGTCAACTTCAATTTAATTACTGAGTAGAGATGCAGATGTAGAGTCCTGCTTAAAGCATCAAATGTAACCGGAAATAATACATGGATGGGCCATAAATGCCAAATTTGCTTAAAAGGATGACAATGACCTTTATTGAAACAAAGCTATCTGAACACTTTCTTCAATATATATTTTTTTAGCAATATCATTAAAGAAATACACTTCATCGTAATCTGCTAACAGCATTTCCAGCTTCAACTGCATTCCAGCCAACTGAACAGTAGGTTAATGAAACTTGAAAACACCTCTTGCTTGTGTCAAAAGTTTTATTTACTGGAAAAATGACATTAGAAGAAGTGAAAGCCCAAGTAAAGGATTAAGTTTTGAATATATGGAAAAGTGTCAATGTGGGCTGCCATGTGTGTTACATATTCTTAAAATATTTCCTCTATTTCACCTGTCCATCAACCAGGAAACATACTACACAATGCAGGTATTTAGACAATAAGAGGTCAATCCCAAAACATTTCAAGGTTAGACTCTTGCAATGTAGGACTAAGGTCAGCTGTGCATATTATAAGACAATGGTAGTTTTATAAAGTCTGATAAAATATCTCCTAACTTGTATTGGGGTTCGGGTTGGGGTTGGGTTCGATCCTCCAACATACTAGTTTGGCGACTTTTATTAATGGTCCAAGTTTTATGCTGCACACTTACATCCCTTGTGTGTTACCGTCATGCGTGAAGTAAACAAAGTAAAAATATTTTCTTCTCTAGCTCTTGATATTTCAGCTTTAAATATGAAAATGCCAACAATTGTTATGATTTTATCTCCAACTGTTGAGAATAGCATTTTGCCTACTCCTATAGCATGGGATGCCACACATTTATTGCAAAATTTAATATCTGAGTGTCTCCTATGTATTTTTACACTATGGAATGTGATCACATTCCCCTGAAAAATATGGAAAAACAGCATATAAACATAATGCATTATATTGAAAAATTATAATATAATGTCGGAAAGAACTTAAACTACATGCTGCCAGACAACGATGTCAAAGTTGATGTTAACAGACTGGGTGGCATTAGTAGGCCTACGGTATACTGGAGTATAATAGAATCACGGTATACTGGAGTATAATAGAATCACGAGTCTTGGAGTTAGCAAGTGGAGAATACATGTAAATAAAGATACTGACCATATTATGTATGTCTATCTGTTGTTCTTTGCTCTATATTAAAATGCATTTTTAATTTCTTGTTTAAATCCAATGATTGCAGGAAACAATTAATAAAAAAGATACAATGAAGATTCCAGGTTATGCAAAAAATGTTATTCTAAAAATGCGGTATTACCGAAAAAATATTTGTATCCTGGCATATACTTGTCATATTGTTCACAACTTGATGTATATGCTCACAAAGTGTAAATTAACTTGAAAAATGGACAATACATCTGTGGATGCAATAGTGCCACCCACTCCCTCCAACTACAGAAACTTTTGAGAGAATTAATGAGTAGCTCTATAACCACCTTTGACAGGGGTGGGTGGGGGTGGCATCTAGATTATCATAGTCACGCAATGTAAGATGTATCACATATTGTTGTCATCTGTCTAAACATATTCAGCAATATCTCACACAGGAAATTTCTGACATGAAATCACCGTATCGGTATTATCAGTGTTCATCGATAATACCGATAAGGTGATTTAATGTTGTCTGAAATTTCCTCCAACTTTATTGATAAAATGTCAGACTCCTGTGACGGAAGTGATAGGACAAGAAGAGTAATGGTAAGAAGGCAGAAATAAGTAAAAGAGTGTCAGTGTACGTTTTCGTCCCTTCATACTCAGAACAATCCGGCTACCGTAGCGGTGATGAGATTGGGAACCTCAACCGTCATCCTTATAATCATTAGGTCTTAGATGTAGCCGAGTAGTTCATGAGAAGGTGATTTTGGAAAAGGTCCAGCTTGTGAGATACCAAGTCAAGAGCTTCGTTATAATAAATGATTAATAAAATTAGGTCAACTTACCGAACAACTTAATTCTGTCAGCTTGAAGTCGAGACAATCCTGTGACATACGTGTATAATGTGTCACTGTAGCGTTATCTGCATATTATCTTCTACCATTGCATTCGTTCGAATGTATCATACTACGGCACACGCACATCACACGAGAAGCAGCCGTGTCATCATGCAACCAAGGAAAGCAATGCAAGGGATATAACTCTAAATTTTATATTCTGTAAAACTACCAATGACATTCTATCTTGCTATTGAAAATGATGATAGCATAGACGTAATCCCCACCCACCCCACACGTTTATAATAACGATGTCTGCGACATTTATACTGTCTTTAATTATTAGCATGTCTCATTATTTTTATAGTCGTTAACATAGTTCCAAGAGGCAATGCTAAGCTTTATCCCCACTCACCCACCATCAAAACCGAGATTTTCATCGACTGTTGACGACGATGCTACTGATAATGACTTGCATTTATTATTATTATTATTATTATTATTATTATTATTATTATTATTATTATTATTATTATTATTATTATTATTATTATTATTATTTCAGGTGTACAAGCTTTAATTTCGAAGACAGAAGTTTTTGAAAATCTTGAGATGTTTGCATCTATTACAAAGTTTAAAGGAACCATATATTACATTTAAATGACTTTAATACGTATTTGTTATATTCCAGTATACTAACAAGAACTTTGACAGTTTTGCAACTCTAGCTGATAAATAATAGGAACATTTTAAGTCAATGTCTAGAAATCTGACCATTTTTGACGATTTAAGTTAAGAAAAGTAGCAGTTTTTATAGTGTCGCTGTTTAGGGGCTGCAGACGTGGTGAATGGGAATGGAGGGGTAATAGATACAGGCAAAATAAGAAGGAGGATGGTGCACAAGGGTTCGTATCATTGTTTACAATCTGGCAGTTAAATTGTAAACAACGATACAAGCCAATGTGAGTTGGTGGTGGTAGATGCAGGGATGTCGGTGAAGGATGATTGGTAATGACAGATTTGTGCTAGAACCGGGATGGTACGATTTATTTTATCTCTGTTGACGGACATTAGGGATGAATGTTGTAAATTTAATTTACAGAATATTAGTAAAATTGATTTTCACTTATATAACATTTATTGCGTCTGTAGATCTAAACATTTTGTTTTTATTTACAAACGCATATATATATATATATATATATATATATATATATATATATATATATATATATATATATATATATATATATATATATATATATAACAATTATTTTCAGTCATATTGCTACGATATCTGCAGGGTGGCAGTTTATTGTGATATCTAGAAATGGAGCATCATGCCGCAGACATGTATCATCATGTCCCACCCAGTCACATTATCCTGACATCAGGCCGACTAGTCCTAACACTAACCTCTTAAAGCTAACAACCAAATGAGGCAGCTGCTATACCATTTTTGCTATAACTCAGCCGGGGATCGAACCCGTCACCTCCCGCATTTGAGGTAGATTCTTTAACCACTTTGACCACCGGAGCAGTCAAAATGTGAAGAAATTTACACAGTTCATTAAAATTTAGAATTTTAAATAAGATAATATCTTGTATATCATGTGACGCAGTTCATGGAAATAATTAAGAATAATGAATGTTTAATAAAAGCTATTGTAGAATATTTATTTATCATATCCATGACTATTGTCATTTAAATAATTAAAATGAATAGATCAACGATTTTCTTCCTGTCCTAATTTTGAACGCTAACATACTAAATTATTCCAAAAGGCAAATCCTTGTTATAACCTTTATGCAGAACTGTCATAAACGTAAAATGGCAGTGGATAAATTTCATATATTGACGGGTTGGGGATGGAGGTCATGAAAATAGTTTTTAGTTTTCATTTTACCAAGCAACTTAAACAATGAACTGTCCCTTAGTTGGTGAATTGTAACAACCGACATATGTAATACATTAATAATAAATACACCGTATACTTCGTGGGGAAAATTCAAATTTCATTGGAAAGTTGTGATGAACGCTGATTGCATAGTAAAAATTGTACTTACCGTGAGTATTATTAAAAGAATGGTTATTATGTTAACGTGCATTTTGTTTTTAAAATTCGACTTACATGTTATGTTAAAGTATATTTCTTTATAAAATACGACTTAAACGTTGATTTCTTATCGAGTCTTACTGAAAATCTATATACTTTCTTAATAGCAAGTTTGTACTTTTGAGTCAGAGTTATGAGTTATTTCCCTTACATCGGAGATGATACGGTAGCCGCCGTACGATGTACGTTACCGTGAGATTGCACGATGAACGTTCAAGATACGATCTGAAATCGTTTTCAGTTCGTAATAGTCCCATACTTATATAAAGCAAGCGTACGTTACAGAGCTTCAAAAGGCAGTGAAGATAAAATGTGCAGTTTGACAGTTTCAAAGATTCTGAAGTTGATGTCTAAAAAAGGTAAGTCATGCACTTTCTGCTTTTGTTGTTATCTGAGAATAAAAGTATTATACGCATGTTTAATTTATTATTATTATTATTATTATTATTATTATTATTATTATTATTATTATTATTATTATTATTATTATTATTATTAATCAAGATAGTGTACACTTACTGAGTCAGATTCATAATATAGGTTTTTTTCTGTTCAAGTTTGTCTTTAAAAAAAAAATAAGTCTGGTGAAATTCTAATTTCAAAGCAAGACTTCTAGTTTTCTAGGCATGTTAGGGATCATGATGAAAATGGAATGATGGATTAGTAATGAAACCAGAATAGAGTAAGAGTTAAGGTCCTAATGAATTTTCGTTATTGTTGCCATGCTTTTCGTATAACTTATCTCAGATTGCCTTTTTAGATAATGTTCTATCTTATGGTTAGATCTAGAAGATAACATCGTATTTGCAAATGTTTGAATAGTTGTAAACTTGTTACACTCCCATCTCCAATTTAATTTCGAGTGTGAAATTATGAAAAGACATTTGTAAGTTAGGATATCCTTCAGTTTTCCGTGTCTTGATCATCGATTTGTCTTTACCATCATCATAATAATAGTCGAATAAATAACAAAAATAATTCCATTACCATACTAAATAGCAATAATAGCAACAACCACGAATCCATAGCGTATTTCAAAAGTTTTTAGTGTCTCGATAGTAAAAGTATTGCCCTGCCCTGGATAGATCTATTTTCATAAAGACACGTTTTGAGTAAAGGGATAATATAAATGAATGAATATAACAATGTTGGTGCACATTTCGTTATTTTTCCTTTTTGTGATGTGCATGACTGCAGTTGTTTGAATTGGAGCAAAATTTTGCGTTAATAGCATTTTATATGGAAATCCCAGTGGGCATACATTTATAAAATGACATTCCAATATAAGTGTGTGTCAGTGGTATCCTAGTAGATTCTTTAATGTTATGTATAGATCCAATCTAATATCTTAGATTCTTTAATGTTATGTATAGATCTAATCTAATATCTTAGATTCTTTAATGTTATGTATACATCCAATCTATTAGCAATAGTAAATGTTTTAAATAATATTTATGAGATGTGTATCATTACGGTTAGTCCAAATATTCTCGAATAAAATTTGGAAAGTCTTGTACAAGCAGACCAACAGGGGGAATTAAGCTAACGAGACAAAGAAGCAAACAACATTTATACTTATCATGATTATTGGGGGTATTGGTTAAATATATTTTTTATGTAAGTTAGTTTGTGGTTCTTCTTGATCCAGTATTAACACTGTTGATAAAAAGTGCAAATATTAGACACATCAATGCTAAAATAAACAAAATGGCGTATTTCATATAAATAAAGAAGACAAACTGAGTTGCTTTCTCAAGTAACCAAGTTATTATATAAGCTATGATTCTTGGGGTAATGCTGCTAATCCATCTGTTTCTTTGGAGCAATATTGCTGTGCCTTTCATTCTTGGGGCAATACTGCCATGCCTTTCATTCTTGGGGCAATACTGCCATGCCTTTCATTCTTGGGGCAATATTGCCGTGCCTTTCATTCTTGGGGCAATATTGCTGTGCCTATCATTCTAAGGGCAATGTCGCTAATGACTGTGATTTTTGGGGCAATGCTGCCCCTCGCAATGCGCCCCCTGCGGGTTCGGGGTTGTAGAATTGGCCCGACGTGCCTCACTACGTGTCGTAAAAGGCGACTAAGTAGAGGCAACCTGTTTGCCGTGGGTTGCGACCCGTAACGGAGGAGGAAAGGATCCTGGTAGTTTCAACACACTACTTTGGCCTCTACTTCTCTAAAGACGGGTGGTTGAGATGGGCCCGGTCTCGACAAATCGGCTGGTCACGCCGAGCCCTAGGAAGTCTTTATTTACTCTCTCACCTCCTTTTACTTTATTCTTGTATCTCGTTTGATACCACCCTTGCCCCTATATTCTATTCCTATATCTTTCCCTTTCTTAAATCTTAGAAGACTTCTTAGAAGGCGGTGGCTTAACCGGTCAATCAGGGGGTAATTTTACTGACCTTCGAAATTGGCGACTTCAGGGTCAACCAAAGGTAATTTTACCAACTGAGTATCATATTTGTGTATCCCTGGCACTTGAAAAGTGTCCCCTTGTTGGGCTCCTTGGTGGGTGGGGAGCACGGGTGCAGAATTTTTCAAACTGCCATCATGGAGAATTAAAAAAAAAACTCCAAAACGAACCAAAACTGTGTCATCAGAGTCGGATGATGAACCATGTAGTGTGGAATCCTTTCCTCGCTTCATGGTCATCCACTCAAAAGACGAAGCTAAACAACTTGCCACATTGTCATCATTTACAGTCGAAAAGACTATACTTGGATTAGTCGGCAAGCCGAAAAGTGTGAAGAAGCTAAGATCAGGTGACCTACTTGTAGAGTGTGAGCGCAAAGCTCAAACTGAAAAAATACTGAAAATTAAGACCTTTCACGATATTCCAGTAACCTGCTCCGCCCACTCTACACTTAATACATCAAAAGGCATCATTCGTTGCCGTGACCTTGCTGGAGTCTGCGACAAGGACATCGTCGAGAGCATGAAAACTGAAGGTGTCACTGCAGTCCGTAGAATTCGTATCAAACGAAACAACAATCTGCAGGACACCAACACTATTATACTCACCTTTAATAAGCCCATATTACCTAAAGTGGTCAAGGTTGGCTTCTTACAAGTTAAGGTTGAGGTATATATACCAAATCCCCTCCGATGTTACAAATGCCAAAAATACGGCCATCATGAAGACAGATGCTCTAGAAGCCAAATCTGTGGCCGGTGTGGCCGGTGTGGCGACTCCTCCCACCGGGAAACAGAGTGCAAGGCCACTCCGCACTGCGTAAACTGCGGCAAAGAACATCATGCTAGTTCCAAGGAATGCGACACTTGGAGACAGGAGAAGGAAATCCAGAGGATTAAATACACTAATAATATTCCCTATCCAGAGGCCAGGAAGCTTGTTCAAGCTAGATCATTCCCCGGCCCATCCTTCTCAACTGTAGTGAAGAGCAGCCAAAAAGCAACGAAAGACGCACAAACTCAAACAAACTCGCCTGAACCCCATTCTGACTCAAACATCCCACACTATAGACCGCAGAAAAACTCTACATCGACGCAAACAACATTCAACATTACCTCACCACCAAAATCACCAAATAGCAAAAAAAAAAGGCTTCAAACAAATAGGCATAAAAAAGGGTCTGATGATCCTTTAAAAACACACAACAGGTTTGAAGACCTAGAGGACATGGATGCGGAGGAATCTGCTTCATGTCCTCAGGGTAACTCCAGATCCAATAACAAAAGATACACCCCCGTACTTCCTCCAGATAAATAACCAAATTATTTGCCACTCGAAAGGTCTAATATACAGTTGTAATGAAGAACACCATTTTACAATGGAATTGTAGAGGACTTAAAGCCAACTAGCATGATAATCATCATCTAATTATACCGATGCCTTCCAAAAACTTAAAGCTCAAAAAGAAAAGTCACGTTTAAAATTCACATCCAACAACTTGGAAACTTATAATCAATTGTTCTCATTATTGGAGCTTAGGGAGGCTTTAGATAAGGCCCATGATACATCCACTGAGCCTGATGAAATACATTACCAGTTTTTGAAACACCTTCCAGAATCATCATTAAAAACTCTTTTGAAACTCTTCAATGATTTATGGATTATTGGTAATATACCAAAAAACTGGAAAGAAGCAACTGTAATACCAGTTCCCAAACCCGGTAAAGATAGCGAAGACCCCAACAGCTACCGACCAATTGCACTGACAAGATGTGTGTGCAAAACAATGGAACAAATGATCAATTCTCGACTTCTCTGGTACTTGGAAGCTAACAATTTAATATCTCCTTTCCAAAGTGGCTTTCGATATGGACGGAGTACTAATGATCATCTAGTTAGACTAGAAACATTCATTCGTGATACCTTTATCAAAAAAGAACATTTAGTAGCGGTTTTTTTTATTTAGAAAGGGCCTATGACACAACATGGAAGTACGGGATACTAAA